CATAGGGAGGGGGCTCCGCCTGAGACTTCCTCGCAATTCACTCACAGACGAGGCTCTTGCCTGGGACTTTCTCCATATTCAGGCCTGAGGAGCCCAAAACTGACGACGGCAGTTACAGGAATTTGATGACCCGCTCGGATTAATAACATGATCTGAGGGCCCCACAGGGAGGGGGGTCCCGCCTGAGAGTTCCTCGCAATTCACTCACAGACGAGGCTCCCGCCTGATACTTCCTCCAAATTCAAGCGTCAGGGGCCCAACAATGACGACAGATACAGGGTTCCGATGACCCGCTCGGATTAGTAACATGATCTGCGGGCCCCATAAGGAGGGGCCCTTGCAGGCATTCCCGGTGTTCTGGCAGCACGAAGAATTCGAAGTGGCTTACAGTTGGCTCCGGGCATTCAAAATGTGGCCTGGGAATGGCGTTCTGGCAGCGCGAGAGCCCAAAAGTGGCGACAGTTACAGGAATTTGATGACCCGCTCGGATTCGTAACATAATCCGCGGGCCCCATAGGGAGGGGGCTCCCGCCCGAGACTTCCTCATAATTCACTCACAGACGAGGCCCAAGGCGAGTGAGTGAGTGAGTGAGTGAGTGAATGAGTGATTGACTGACTGACTGACTGACTGACTGGTGATGGTGATGATGATGATGATGATGATGATGATGATGATGATGATGATGATGATGATGATGATCATCACACTCTCTCACGCGCACACTCATCATCATCATATGCGAGTGCTGATGAGTGAGTGAGTGAGTGAGTGAGTGAGTGAGCGAGTGTGTGAGGGATGATGAGTGAGTGAGTGAGTGAGGAATGAGTGATGATGATGATGGTGGGTTCCTGTTCCTGCGCGGGGTCTCCAGAGAAAACAAGAACCCCACTTTGGATGTGGGGACTAAAAGGGAACTCCACCGAAGCCACCAGGAGGGTCTTTTGCATGTGCTTCGCCACGCCCCTCACACGTCTCGTGGCCCCACGAGAGCTCCACCGAAACCACCAGGAGGGGGGTTTTGTATTTGGTTCGCCACGCCCCTCACACGTTTCGGGGTCCCATAGGGAGCTCCACCGAAGCCCATAGGAGGGGAGTTTCGCGTGCGGTTTCCCATCCATTTCGGGACGGCCCTCGCACGTTTCGTGGCCCCAAAGTGAGCTCCGCCGACGGCACCAGCAGCAGCATCCGCATGGCGGCACCGCACCTATCTCGTACACTCCTCACACGTTTCGTGGTCCCATAGGGATCTCAGCCGAAGGCCCCAGTGACATCGTCCGCATGGCAGCACCGCACCCATTTCGGCACACCCCTGACACCTTTTCGTGGCCCCATCGAGGGCACGGCGGCACCGCGCCCATTTCGGTACACCCGTCCCCCGTTTCGTGCTCCCCCTCCTTCGTCGCACCTGAATCGCGATACTCGCAGCTTCATATGGTTGGGTCCTTCCCCACGACATTTGTTTGTCAGTTGGAAAGGCTAGCAAGTGCACAACGGAGCTTGTGGAAGTTGTTGCAGGGTGGCCGGTTCCGCCGAGCTTGAAAAGAGAATTGTTCGATTGCAAGTGGCGGAAAGGATCACGTCAGCTTTGGGAATGGACGGCGCTAAGAAGAGGGCGAACATGTCAAGCGATCTTCCGCCCGTCCTGCCACCGTGTTTCGGCTGTGGAACAACAGTTTTTGAAAGAAAAGCGTTTTGGGCCTCTTGGAGGCTTCCTGGAGGTCTTCTGGAGGCTTCGTAAAGCCTTTCCGCCTCCTGCGGCCTCTTCGTGGCCTCTGGGGGGCTTCTCGGAAACCTCTGTATTAGTGGCTTGCTCGTGCCCCTGGGGGCCATCTTGGTTGGATGGCTGCTCGGCCCCCTTTCGGCCAGATCTTGCTGGGAGCTCGAGGGCTTCATTGGGCGATCCTGGGAGGTTTTTGGGCAGTCTGCGGGGCTCGGACAATCGAAGCATCGCAAACGCTGGCATCACGCACGAACCTGCCAGGGTCTTGGACTTGGCATCGCTCGGACGTGTGCATTTTTCCTTCGGCGAGGACCATCGAGGAGCATCCTTGACCATTTGGCGAAAAAACCACGCACGAAACCTAAAAAAACACAGAGAATGGACGTCCGCGCGATGGCCAGTGGACGATTATCACTTTTTGCCTTGCCGGGAGGCGGCCCAAGAAGTTTCAAACGGGCTCCAGGACGGGCGCTCCGTCTTAGGGCGTGTTGGAATTTGGGATTGCAGAGCGTGCTACATGTCAGCTCGGGGCCAGAGGGGGAACACAAATCAGGAGGGCATCCGCTTCCAGGACCACCCCCATCATTGTATCATGCTAATCACCGCCCTCTTCCTCCGCCCGAGTGGCCGTCGACACCCCCAACATGCCTCTCAGCAAATGTAATTCAAAGTGCGCATTGTAGCAAGTGCTGGACCACGAGGGGAGCACCCCATTATCTTTGCATGTTTTGTGTTGTCACGGGTTGTGGTGGTATATTTTGCGTTTTTTTTGCGCTGGCTACCATATTTGCCAAGAAGAAGTACACATGGATCGAGTGGTCACGCGCCGTGCTCCTTTGTGACTAGCCCGGTGTTGCTTTTCGCGGCTAGGTTATCTCAGTGGTGGTTTTGTCTCGCCATTTTCGGGTCTCGCTGGACTCCCCGCTTCAATGCCCTGATGCTGCCTCACTTCACGGTCATCTTGTTTTCCCCTTTCCTATTCCTCCTCCTCCTCCTCTTCCTCCTCCTCCTCCGCCTCCCCCTTCTCCTTTCCCCTGTGGTTTTGATACGCTTTGGGGAGCGATTCGTATCGCTCCAATCTTGGCTCCAGACGTCCGCGCTCAGCGCGCTGATGGCTGATGAGTGGATAGGCAGCTTGATCGTGGCGCTGCGGGCACGGTGCGCTGCTTCAGAAAGCTTCGGCCTCGCCAGGCGAAGCCTGCGCCAGCTCGCGACACCGACCCAAACACCTGGAAGGCTCCCTCTCGGGCAGGCCCACTCCCGAGGGGCCCCGCGTGGGGGGACAGCCCGGCGGGGCCACTCGTCACACGGGCAGCCGCGGAGCCTCGCCTGTGCCCTGGCCGCCCTCCCCGCGCCGCGGCGGCTGGGCGGCGGGACCCGCGTGCCACCACCAAACCACCAGATTGTTTCAACGCCTTCTCGCCGAATTGCTTCGTGTCGTTTCTGCCGAAAGGTCGTCTTGGCCACAGCTTTTCAGTTGGCGCGTGCCGATGGCTTCGCACAGCGTGGCCCGCCAGCGTAGTTGCCTCGTCCTCTCCCCGCTCGAAACGACCGCTGGTAGAACAAGGCCATCGTGACCACCCCGCTGTCACTTCGGGTTGGCATCTTGTTGACACGGGTGGTGGTCTACAATTTTGTCCGATCTGTGCTCCCGTGTGCACTTGCGCAATTGGCGTACTCTTTGCGTGTCACACGCGTGGCGCACACCGCGCGCCTAAGCACGTTGCACACTTGGCGCGCGTGGTGCATCTGGCGCACCAGGTGCGCCTTGCACGTTTGGGCACCTGGCGCGCTTGCTGCGCGTAGCGCGCCAGACCAGCGTGGCGAATGCGGAAGCTGTGTTGGATCATACTGGCTATGTATCAAATGGCGGCCACCACTTATGCTCCATGCTGGGTTCTGGTGCTTTTTGTGGAGCGGGATGGCATGTGGGAGTGCCCGGGCGGGCACGGGTTCAAATGGAAGGGTCTATCAATTCTTGACGCCCTGCGTATCCCCACCAGCCCACCGTTTGGTCCTGTTTGTCGGCTTTGGCGTTCCAAGTGGACCTGATTCTCATCGTCCTCTTCGCCTACAGAGTCGCAGCGTAGTTCGCTCCTGCGCGCTCAGTGCCTAATTTAGATCGTGGCGCTGGGGTCTCGCTCTTTGACGGCGCGCGGTTGCTCCGTGTCGCTCGCGAACGGAAAAATATCCCCACCAGCCCATCCAGAAGCAATGCCCATGAGAGTTGACGGGGGGAGAGAGTAACAGACACGCGTAGTCAAACAGCGAGGGAGGCTTGGGAGGCTCCGTGGCCATCTCGAGCCGTCCTGGAACGGTTTTGAGGCCGCTTGGAGCATCTTGGGAGCCATCTTGAGCCAGCTTGGGCTATCCGAGCCATCTTGGAGGTCATCTTTGGGCTCTCTGATGCCGCTCGGGGGCCTCTTGGGTGCCTCTCGGAGCCCTCTTTTGGGCCTCTTGGGGCGCTCTTAGGTCCATCTTGGGGGCCTCTTGGGAGCCCTGGAGCGCCTGTTGGGGCCATCTTGGAGGCGGTCGGTGAAAAACAGGGAGGTCCTCGATGTAGCTCCCACCCTCGGGGGCCAATATCATTGTGAAGGGTGTCAAAGATTGGCCCTCCCAGGGGCCGGAAGAGGACCTTTTGACATATCGGGGCCCCTCCCAAAACACCTCAGGGAGAAAAGGGGGAGGGTTTCCCTCCCCGAAGGGAAGAGGGGTATGTGTAAGAGGAAGCAAACCCTCGCTAAAACACCTGTCGTCAAGCATTTTTTTTTTTTTGTTTTTTTTTTTTTTTCTCTCTCTCCTTCCCGCATTATGCATCTAGTAAATTCATTTTTACTGCTTATTTTAAAAAATAAAGATATAGAACAACATATTATTTTTGGAAAACATTGTTCTTATTATTGTTATGATTTCGTTTACGGATTACATCGGAGCTCGCGCAAGCTCGAACTTGAAATGAAATTTCTCATGCCGTGGCGACACATGGACGGAGTGTTTCGATGGAGAGGCGGGTCGGGTTTGCAAGAGCACGGGGAGTAGGTCTCACACGCCGACAAGGTCGGCATATTTCAAGTGTGCGACATGGTAGAGTGCATTGTGGGTGAATCGCGCAGCTAATTGGAAGCGCCGTGTCGAACGAGTGTGGTGCGTACGCGTGATACGTGACATCTGGTTGATCGCCGATGTTGTTGGATCGTGAAGAGGCTTTCAGCGACGGGTTGATAATTTGATATCGTAGATGATGTTTTGTTGGCTCATGCTGCTGCCGTTTTTGAACGTAGTTCAACTTTGGTGCCTGCGTAGATGCTGTGATAGTTGAGCAGGGCGTGGGCCGTTGCGGCCGCGCACCCACGCTGGGGAGGCGGGCGCCATGACTGGATTCGAGGAGGATTTGATGCACGTTGGTCCCTTGCTCTGCTCTCTCTTCTCGTATTGTTGTCTTGTTAACACCATTGAGCGTAGGTTTCGTATTTGCGTCGTTCTTCTCTTTTCTGTTTGCTTCTGCTTTTCTCCTGGGCCCGCCCTGGCGCGGTGCAGTCATTCCCATGGCCTTGTTTATGCAGCGCCAGCTGGTGTCGCGGTGTCGCTTCTGCTTCAAATTGCCACGTTTTGAGCAATAGCAGATTTTGACAAAATCATGTAGTTGGTGTGACGATAATCATTCCGGGACTCAGATCGAACGCCCAATATTTTGCATTGCCGCGCTCACGGGATGTGTGGGCGTGTGAGCGTGTGAGCGTGTTGTGTGCTCTCGGGAATCAGAGCTGGCTTGTCGCTTATCAAATTCGGTTCGCCATTGTTCAATGCAACGTGACCGCTTGGATGACTAAGCACTAGGTCGCCGACGCTGAAAGTATGTGTGTGCTCCTTTCCTTCACGCGCGGGCTGGTGTCTCCGGCGTCTGCGTCGCCTCTCACTTGCAGCGTTTGCGACGCCTCTGTCCCGACCCTTTCATCCATAAAGTCGGGTAGTGTGGATGCGTCCCGTAGATGCCGGCTCGCGATTGTGGTGCCATCGCCAGATGAAGACAGCAGCGTGTGTGCGTGTGTGTGTGTGTGTGTGTGTGTGTGTGTGTGTGTGTGTGTGTTGGGAGGAACGGGGTGGTAGGAACATACAGGTGTGTGTTAGCTAGACGTGTTGTTGAGGGAAAGGTTAGGAAGGTAGAAGTTTGGAGGGAGGGGGAGGAGGAGGGGGGAGGCCAGGGGAGAGGGGGAGGGAGTGGGTGTGTGGACCCACGATGTGACAGCAGATCAGGGGAAAGCCACGGCCTGATCGTCTGGCGCAAGGTGCGCGCCTTGACCGAGCTGGTGTGCCCCTGGCAGTATTCAAGGGAGTGTGTGTGTGTGTGTGTGTGTGTGTGTGTGTGTGTGTGTGTGTGTGTGTGGGGTGGGGCAGCGGCCCGTCGCTGCCCCCCCCCCGCTCGGCCGCCGTCCTCCGCCGCGGCCGCTGCTCCCCTTGCCGCAATTGCCTCGCCACTGCCCTACGAGGGCCCGACCTCCTTTTTTTCTTAGCAGGCTCGCGCGACCGCTGACGTGCTAGTCGGCCATAGGCATGGCCCCGTCCACGAACGCTCAAACATGTATATGTACATCTATGTGTATATATATTTATATATATTTATACACATAGTTCTTTGCATATGATAACTGATATGCGTATGCATGTACACACACATATCTATATGTATAGTACGTATGTCTGTCTGCCTGCCTGTCTGCCTGTCTGTCTGTATGTATGGTTATATATACATGTTTGTGTACTAGTATACATGTTTGTATGCATGTACGTATATACGTATGTGTGCTTGTGTATGTATGTATGTATGTATGTATGTATGTATGTATGTATGTATGTATTTATGTATATATGTATCTATGTATGTATGCGTTTTTGTATGCACGCATTTATGTATGTATGTGTGTATATATGTATATGTGTATGCATGCATGCATGTGTATGTGTATGTATGTATGCATGCATGCATGTGTGTAACTTTATGTATGTATGTATGCATGCATGCATGTATGTATATGTATCTATGTGTGTATATGTGCGTGCGTGGATGTGTATGCATGTATGTATGTATGTATGCATGCATGCATGTATGTATGTATGCATGTATGTATGCATGTACGCATGCATGTATGTATGTATGTATGCATGTGTGTATGTATGTCCACATGCATGTATGCATGCATGCATGTATGTATTTATGTGTGAATGTTTGTTTTTTATTGATTTATGTATGTATGTATGTGTGTATGTGTGTATGTACTGTATGTATGTATGTATGTATGTATGTATGTATGTATGTATGCATGTATGCATGCATGTATGTATGTATGTATGTATGTATGTATGTATGTATGTATGTATGTATGTATGTATGTATGTATGTATGTATGTATGCATGTACGGGCTTATGTATGCATGCATGTATGCATTTATACATATGTATATGTGAGTGTGCGTGTGTGGGTGTGCGCCCGTAGCTTCTGGCTCAAGCCTGGCTCAAGCCGCTCTGGTTCGAGGTGAGCCGAGCCGGCTTGCGGGCCGCGGCCGGGGATCAGCCCTCGGCCTCCCGAGGTCTCCTTCCTCCGCCGTCCCCGCCCCCGCCATGCCAGGCCATTGCGCGGGCGGCGACCGCGTCCGCGGCTGCCGCGGCCCCCCGCCCCGCGGCGTCGCGGTCTGCGGTCCGCCGCCGCCAGCGGCGCGCGGCCGCTGCGCGCGGCGCGCCGCCCCCTGGGCCGGCTCCGTTGGCCGCCGCTGGCGTTGCTGAGGCTGCCGGCGACGCCGCTGCTGCCGGGGGGTTCCGGCGGCGCTGGCGCGGCGGCCTCGTGTGCGGCCGCCAGTTCTTTGTGCTCTGGCGTGGCTGCCGCCTGCGCCGGTGCCGCGGCCGCCTGCGAGGCGGCGACTGCCGTCGGCCTCTGGTCGGCCGCCGAAGCTGTGGCGCGTTCTGCTGGGCTTGCCGCCCCCGCGGCCGGTGCCGCTGCCTTTGCGGCGTGGCCGCGGACGGTGGCGGCATTCGGCCGGCTGGATGCCGCGGGTGCTTCTCGTCTGGGCGCTGCTGCTGCTGGCGGCGTGCGGCGTGCTGGCCGGCGTCGCGGCGGCAGCGCCTCCGGCCGGCACGCTGCCGGCCACGGTGGCGGCGCGGGCGGAGCCTGTCGCGGTTCACCTGGATGTGGCCATGCGGGTGGCCGAGCGCTTGGCGGCTGCTGAGCGCCAGGCGGGGGCCGTCGCCGCCGCGGCGTCTGCCGGCAGCCCGCCGCGCGCTTGACGACGAGGAGGGCGTGCAGGATTTGGTAGGTTTCTGGGACACTGCTGCACTCACTGCGGAGGGTCGAGTCCACCCTCATCTGCTGCGGCGCCCCGATCAGCATGGGCCAGACAAACGTGCGCAGCGAGATGCTGGGCGTGAAGCTGGTGGCCACCATCATCCGCTACAGCGTCCCGGTCAGCGCGTGCGATAAGGACGAGCAGGGGCAGGGGCAGCCGGCCCTGGCGCTTTTCCGAGAGATGGTCAGAGTGAAGCTGCAGCCCGCCACCATTTGCTCCGGTGCCCCGATCAGCGTGGGCGAAAAGGACTGGCAGGGGCAGTGGCAGCCGGTCCTGGCGCTGCTCAGCGAGTTGCTGGGAGTGAAACTGAAGCCCACCACCGTCTGCTCTAGCACCGCGATCAGCACGTGCGAGACGAACGTGCACAGGTGGACGTTTGACCTGGAGCTGGGGCTCTCATCATCTGCTAGAGCACACCAATCAGCGCGTGCGAGAAGCGGCAGTGGCAGCCGACGCTGGCGACGACGAGGTGGAGGAGGTCGCGGAGGTGGGCGTCGGCAGGGTCGACGAAGAGGTGGAGGAGGTCAGGGAGGTGGAGATGATGGTCGGGGACGAGGACGTTACGTTACGAAGGAGGTTGGGGAGGTCGCTGCGGAAGTCGGGGAGGAGGTGGGGGAGGTCAGCGAGGCTTTCGGCGACACGTGCGATGAGGCTGGCGAGGAGGGCGACAAGAAGGTGGCCATGGAGGAGGAATGGGGGCGTCGAGATCAAGGAGAGCATCGACCTGGTCGCCGAGGTGGGCATCGACGGGGGGTTCGAAGAGGTGGTCTCGGATGTTGGCGCCGAGCGGGCTCCATGTTGTCAGTTCCTCGGGGGTGACGCCGATCGTTCCTGTCGATGCTACGCCGCCACTCTTGTCGACGGTACACCACCCATCCTTTCGATCCCATGTGGTCCAAGACCACCAACCTCTAGGCGACGCGTGGTGAGTGGACATCCTTGGGGCCCGGGCGGCAGGCTCCAGGCCCGCCGATGCCCCCTTTCCGTTCAAGTGGAGTCCCCGCCCGATCACAGTTAGATATGGAGGAGACGGATGACGCTCAGAGATCTGGGAGGGATGGCGAGGAAGGATGCCTCGATCCACGTCCCTTTGACCACTCTCATCCCAGACCAAGTGGGACAGGGCGAGCTTGCCCTGCGCCGCCTTGCTGCTAACGGCCGCTTTGCGCCGCTGCGGCCTGCGTCGCTCGGCCGCGACTGTCTGGGCCCGTTCGAGCACTGCGGCAGCGGCCGGGCGCGTGGGGGCGGAGAGAGCCCCGCGAGCGAACTGGTCCAACGGCCCCCATGGGCGGACTGCGAGGACGACGACGTCCATTCCCCGACAGGCGCGAACGCTCTGGCGAGCTCCCCGGCACCTTCCTGGTCTGCTCCAGCCAGTGAGACCATGGGGCCGCCAGCAAAGGCCGGGGATGCAGACGAAGTGGGCAGTCGCGTGCGTAGCTTGGACAGCGTCGCTGCGATCAATCCCAGTGGGCGAACAGAGGTCCAGAGTCCTCCCGCGCCCGCTGTCCTGGCGGCTGCGTCGCGTACTGCAGACCGGCAGCCGTCGCCGCGGGCGGCGGAGGCAGCGGCGCGCCACAGGGGCCTGCCTCCCATCAGCTGCTCATCGATCATGGCGCGCGCGCCCGCTGCGGAGGCGCCGTCTTGGGACAGACCTCGCCTCGCCCAGCAAGCGCCGGGCGACCTCTGGCTGATGTTTACGGAGGGGTGGGCTGACTCCCCGTGGTCTCGCGAACGCTGGGATCGCCTCACCTGGGACTACTGAAAACAAGGGGGCGGGCTCGCCCAGAAATGGTCCCACGACAGGTCACGTTCGACTTCCTGTACTTCCTGCCAACGCGTGGGCGGCAGCCGGCTGGTACTTGCGCCCCGTCAGCCGTTTGACCAGCCCGGCGCAGCCGTGGGCCCTGGCTCGACCGGGCGTCAGGCTGGTCTGGCGGGTGCCTCCAAGGAACAGCTCGTGGCCCGTGTCAAGCGGCAGGGGAGCCAGGGGCTGATAGCTTGGAGAGCTCACTGCGCGCAGTTTGACGGCAACGCGCTGGACCCCGGGTGGCGCGACGTGAGCTTCCTGCGCGGCTTCATCGCATCGCGTGCGGGGCATCGCGGTGCAGTCTCCTGAGTCGAGCGGCCATGCGCCGGACATGCGCCGATCTGTCGCGCGCCCATCAGTCGGTCTTGTCGCGCGCCGGTGAGTGGCCTGCTGCGCCCCGTTACCCGCCCAGTAGTCGCCTTGGGCGCGCGCCGGTTTGTCGCCCGTGAGTTCGCCGTGCTTCGTTTGCTCTTGCTTCCGCCACTCCTGGTCTTGAGCTCCGTGGTGCTCTGTTTTCTGTTGGAGGTGGCGTTTCGTTCCTGCCGCCCTCCGGCGGCGCTCCCCCTGTGGTGGCTCGTCGGTCCCCCCTCCTCGTGGGTCGCGGGGTTCGCTTGGTCATCGTCGTCGTCGGTCATGGGCTCGGCCATATCGTGGGGCTCCCCTCCGTCGTCTCTCTGGGCTCCCCTCCTTCCTCTGCCCTGTTGCTCTTCCCGTCTCTCTTCCTCTTCCAGGTCGTCCCCGCCGCGGCGGTTCGGCCTCTTCCGCGGCTCGTTGGCACTCTCAGACGGCGTGTTACGGCTTTTTCTATGTCCTCTTCGTCCTCCTCTTTCCTCTTCCTCTTTTTCGGGGCGATGTTGCAGGATTTTTTGCTAACTTGGACGCTGGTGCGTACAGTGCGTCTCTTCATTTCTAGTGCTGCTCGGTCGATACCAGATGGCTCCTTATCGCAGTTTTTATCCGGTCAGTTTGGGCGTGTCATTGTCGTTGGCTTTTCTTTGTCGCGCGGCTTCCCACCAGGATTCACGGTGTGGCTTCATTAAGTTGGTTTCGGCTCCGCCTGTGTGTGTGTTTCCACGTGTGTTGCGTTCGGCCACACCAATTTATGCTGTCTTAGCGTCGGGTACGCTGTTGTGGTGTTGCCGCGGCTAGTAGGTCTAGCACCCCACCCGTGCTATTGCTCTGGCGTCGCGGGTTCGTAGGATTCACCTGCCCATCGTCACGCGAGGCCATAGCTCTCAGCGTTACCCCACCAATCGGCTGATTTGGAAATTTAGCAGGTCGTAAGCTGCACCTGCTTTCCAGTTTGGTTTGAGTCGAGTTATTGTGCTCTTCGGGTTGTGGTCGCTGCAGGTTTTTTGGGTCATCATCTGTCAGTGACTATTGGCCGTAATTTGCACCAGGCTGCCTGTGCCTCTGTTCACCTTGGGTCGAGTTCGTTCTGCGTGCTCTTCGGGTTCTGTCAGCTGCACGTTTTCGAGAGAGTCCCATTATTACATCACCCATGCTCTGCAATTTACATCGTTCGATGGTTCGTTCAGCTGTTCTTTCGGTTCAGTCCTTCTATCATTAGCACCTCCATCTGCTGCCCGCGCCTGAGGTTCCTCGGCGCCGCCGATTTAACAACATGTGGGTGTGCGCGCGCGCGTGTGTGTGTGTGTGTGTGTGTGTGTGTGTGTGTGTTTGTGTGTGTGTGTGTGTGTCTGTGTGTGTGTGTGCGCGTGTGTGTGCGCGTGTGTGTGTGTGTGTGTGTGTGTGTGTGTTGTGTGTGCGTGATTCTTTGTCGTCGATTGGAGCGCGCACGTTGTTCGCTTGTACGAGATGTGTAATGCTTTAGGTCGTCTTGAACGATCGGGCATTTGCTCTGGTGCAAACCAGCCTTGCTCAGCAAGTGGGAATTCCTGCTCGTATCCGCGGTGCTTCTGGGCAAGCTAGTATTGCATCAATTCCATACGCTTGCGCTGCCAGTGGTGGCGTGTAGGATTTTGCAATTTCTGCCGCATGGATTCGATGGCCATGGTATCGGCGGCGGCTAGCACAAATGCGCCAGTGATGCCTGAATCGTATAGGTTGGTGGCGCGAGGTCTTGCCCCACTCTCTCGCAGTTTCATGGGTGTCGGCAATTCCGGCTTTTCGGACCGCTCCGTTGGCCCGCTCTCATCCATCTTGTCGAAACAACGACGCTCCCCATTGAGATGGGTTAGGTCGATCGTTTGCCCAGCGAAAATTATGACTCGGCCTCGCGGCCGTGGGCTCTCGAGCGGGGTGTGCGTTTTGTCCTGGCGAGTTAGGTCCATTTGGAAGGGCCAAAATGATAGAAGAAACTCGTGGCAAGCACCGATGCGCCATCAAGGTAGCGAAAAGAGGCGCCCAGGGGAAGAGGTAAGGGATGCAATGGGACAGGGGACGCGTAATGGGTGAAGGAGGTATGGTTGGGCGGAGGGGTGCTGGTATTTACACGCATCGGTCTTCGGATACGGGCAGAGAGGGCGAGGATCGCAGCTCCGGGGAGAATTCGATGTTCCGTCTTAGAGTTCTCCCAAGTAGAATTTCCCTGCATCTATTCAGCTTCGGCCGCAAGTTTTGCAATCCGAAAAGGTGTTAGGAAAGACGGGGGAGGTGGAGAGGGCATGACTCCGCCGAAGCACAACCCCGTAATGGGCGAAACGTTTGTTTAAAACGAAATATGGGCGAAGCAAGGGGGTCGGGGGTTGGGGTGGATCTTAAGGTTGATCTACGCGTGTTGGATTGCGAACTGCCTTGCGTTTTCGTACCTTGTATCGTCTTGCTTTTGCTCACTGTGTGCACTTTACATTCGCCAGCTAGTGTCCATCCTTGTTTTTGCTTCGTGGGCTTTAGGTTTACCTTGTGGCTTAATGCAAGTCCCATTAACACCTTGATACGTAGCTGCAGCACTAGCACTACATGTGGGCACTTCTGGACGTCACGTCACAGGATACAAGAGGGCACAGCGTTGATTCGCGAAAGTTCCAGCGGCACAGGACACCACGGGTCACCACTGACATGTTTGATCTGCGTCACTCGGACGTAGAATTTTGCATACCTTGCGCTTCGGCTTTTGACATGGCGCTCCAGTATTATTTTCCGATCTCTTCAGTTTCAGCTTTGACTTCACTTAAGCTTTGGTTTCAGTTTTCGGCTTCGGCTTGATCTTTATCTTCACCTTTGGTCTTGATTTCATATTTGTTGTCAGCGACACAGCACATCACGGCGGGAATGCACGAGACGCAGTGGAGACCGCCAGGCACCAGGTGGTTTTGTGATGGCGACATGCAACGCCACAGGGCACGTTCTAAACTGCGTCCCTCGCATTATCCTCATCGGCACACGGTACTCCAGCGGGATGCCACCAGACACCACGAAACAGTGCTAGACGCCATGGCAAGCGCCGCAATGACATCGGGATACCACTGGTACGTCGTCGGGACACCATCGACACACAATTGGGAATCGATCGGGTCACGTTCGAAATCTATTTGTGCAGCATCGGGACTTTATTTGGATACCGCCGAAACTCAATCCCGACACCATGACACCTTCAGAACGCAATCAAGCACAGTAGGCACAACATCGGGACGCCAGCGGAACACCATCAGGTCATCATCATGACCATCAGGATCAAGATCAAGACTCTCCCTTTGTATCATTTTTGCATATCATAGACATCGCAAGTGCATCGGGAAGCAATTGTACATCTGCAGGGTACTAGCGGGACAACATCGGGACACCCTCGAGAAAGATAGGAAACTCAATATGGGGTCCCATCGAAAATGATTCGATACGTTGTCAGGACCCCATCGGCACACCTTTGAACACCAATTGGGGCAACGTTGACATGCCTTCGGTTCGCCGTCGCAAACCAATCTGGGCACCACCTGAGCAGCATCGGAGATGGTCTTGGTACCAATACGACTGCCCTTCGAGTGATGAGGAGGTTGGGGGGGACAGAACCTACTGATGACAACTTCGATGATTGTGATTGGAATGATGCTGGTGATGTACTCGATCCTAGATCGTCGATCCTCGATCCTCCATCGAGACGTGAATCGGAATTCCACTCGGGACACCACCAGGAAACCATCAGGACACCACCAGGATACCATCGGGACACCATTGGGACACCAATCGGGATACCAATCGGGACACCACCAGGACAACATCGAGACCCCATCGAGACTCCACCAGGACACACGGCAGAATACGTTCGTCGATCGTCGATCTTTGATCCTCCATCGAGACACCAATTGGAGTTTCAATCGGGACACCACCAGGACACCATCAGGATACCATCGGGACACCATCGGGACACCATCGGAACACCAATCGCGACACCAATCGGGACACCACCAGGACACCATCGAGACACCATCGAGACACCCCCAGGACACCATCGGGACACCGTGGGGCGCCATCGGGACACCGCGGGACACCAGGGGACACCACGGGACTTCACGGGACACTATCGGGACACCACGGCGGGACACCCCTAGCACCCGCCCGCCAACCGGGGTGAGGACGTCTGTCCTCGCCGCGCCCTAGCCAGAGGAGGGTTCATTCCTCCGCCCGCCCCCGTAGCTTTGCCTCGCCCGCCCGCACGACACGAACCCGAAAAACCAGAAAATGGAAGGCATTTCTTGGTGGGGGGCTCTCCATTCCACTTCGATCTCACCCCCCAACCTCTGAGATTTTCCAGAGCCCATCAGCCGACTGCCAGAACAACGTCGAGACACCGCCAGGTCACCATTGGGACGCCCTGCGCCTGGAGGAGGAAGAGGAAGTCCATTCGGTCCAATATTGGCCGAATACACGAACCTCCCAGCACAGCTTCGCGCGCACATCACGCGCGTCACGAAGCGCGAAATGGTAAATCTTCGGCGTGGGGCGGCCTTGCATCGGCTGTCACACTCCAGCCTCGAGACATGTGTACCCTTGTGTGGAAATTGCGCCAGGCCTCGCCGTGGCCAACCAGTCTTTCAGCCTTCTCCCTCCTCCTCACAGGAGAGAACAGTGAAGGGAAGTGGATTTTGTTTGTCTGTGCTTCATTTCTAGTGGCCTGCTCGCTTGCCTGCACCAGGATGGTCGCTCAGAGGGCGTGGCGTCGAGCTCAAGGTATCCCTGAAGGGGGAATTTGTTTCGTATATGCACGTGCGCACGCTATCATATGCAGGAGTTGGAGCATGGTGAGAAGGGAGATGGGGGGACGGTGGAGGTAAGTTGAGGTGGCTGGGGCAGAGGTGGAGTTGGTGGAGCAGGGAAGGGTGATATTGGAAACAGACCTTGAAGGAGAGAGGGAGGCCCTGTTAACCGCCTGTGCTCCAGCACTTGGACACCTACTTTTGTTTGGTTGGGAATTCCTCAAGAGCGCAGGACCGGTACAGTCAGCAAGTCATCGTTTCCAGCAATCACAGAAGTACATAGTTCATATCCAGACGTCGCTAGCCTGCTGCTGTGCCTGGGGCCGTCTTGGAACCCTTAGGGCCCATCTTCGGATTTTCTTGGGCCACCATTGCGCAGTTTTGAGGCTTCACGAGCCAGTTGGAAGCGAAAAGGCGATGAAACGACAGCCATTTGAACCAATCTTAGTCTCCAATGGGAAAAGACCTCTCAGGGGTATCCTTGGGAAGCTCTGTGGCCACTTGGCGCCTGTCTTGGAACCTTGGAGCCTCTGGGAGGCACGATTCAAGCCGTCTTGAGCCATCTTGGGCTACATTGTGCCATCTCGGATGCCATTCTGAGCTGTCTGAAGCCATCTTGGAGACATCTCGGGCCATCTTGGACGCTCTAACTTTTCGCGCTTCCCCGTCCAGACCTGGAAAGGAACTTCCCTTGATAAAACGGGTTAACTCCTCCAACCGCGTCCTGGCCACAGCGCCGACCTGGAACGCCCCCTTCTTGGTCTCGGCAAGGCGAGACAAGGCGAGGCGGTCTCCAAAATAGCCGCCAAGATGAAACGCGATGGTCCAAGGTTCTTCAAGATGACCTCCATTAGGCTTGCTGGATGCTAGATGCTTCCAGAGCGCCACGAGACGGCCCGAAGTGGTCGCGGAGCCTCCCCAGGATTGCCTGGAGAGGCTAAAGTTCGAACGCCTACGAACGTTCAGTGATTTTTTGGTATTGTCGCTTTCCAGCTTCAGTTCGATACGCTCTCAAGGCTGCCAGAGAGGCCCCAGAAAGGCTCATGAATGGCCCAACACGGCCCAGGATGCCTCCATGAACATCCTAAAAGCGTTTCGGGAAAGGCCCCAAGAGGGCCCCTGGTCTACATCGTGGCAAGGCCAATAGCACCACCTGTACTTGACGCCACGATGGTCGTACGACGGCCCGACGAAGCCCAACAGCACCTTTTTGCAACCCTCAAATCAGAGACTTCGCCCAGACATGGTTTTGATCTGTATCTTGTCTTTCTCTGCGCGGTCGGCCAGGGGGGACTACCGCGCCAGATTGCCAGCCACATCCGGTCTACATGCAAGGGTAGAAGTGTTTCGACGTGGGGGAGGTGGTACCTCCCCCTGAAAGGGGGAGAGTGGGGTTAGAGGATACGCCATGTACCACCTGAGCCCAGAGTGGGGGTGGAATTTGCCAGTTTAGATTGTGTTGCCACAGCGTGTGAATGCTACTGCGGCTGCAGCGTCCTGATGGTAGTGCCAAAACGCCGCCCACGCGAACGCCGCCGCACGCTGCTGTCATCGCTGCTGCATCTTCTGATCGCTTGCGCACGGCCCTCACTCCGCATCCCGTTGTCACTGTCACCGCAGCTCGATGCCGCCGCCGAGGCGTTTCGATGTTCTTTGCACCAATCGTTCGACATGCTGCCTCTGCATACGCCCGCTACCTCCAACCGAAAATGTGGCGCCAGTCTGCCCCGGGGCGGCACCAAAGACCAGTTCGGGCGGAAGGCGCCGCCGCCGCCGGCGCCTTGCTCGCTCGGCCGCCTCGTCTGTTCGTTGTGCGCCCGGGCCGCTCTGCGGTTGCTCTGTGTTGGGTTTTCAGCAGCTTGTTCCCCTGCCGCCTCCTCACTATCGCGCTACTTCTTGCTGCCCTTGCTCAAACCTGCCTCTCTTCCTTCAGCGGTCTCTGTCGCTGCTGCACCCTCCTTCCTTTCTTGCTTCGCTCATTCTTACCCTCCCTTGTCGTACTGTTCTCTTGCGTCCCCCTTCACTCCTCCCTTTCCCTCTTCCTCCCTCCCCTTCTCCTTTTTTCCCCCCCTCCTCTTGCAACATATAGTTGTTCCTCACCTTCCTGTGTGTGGTGTCCTTGTTTCAAAAAAAAACACTGCTGCCTCCTCTCCTCTCACGTCCTCTCCTGCCCCATCCCTCCTCCTGCCTCCATGTCCTACTTCCCGCCTCCTACCCCACCTCCTTGTGTGTGCTTCCAACAGCGCAACTGTCGCCACTTTCGTGAGCTACTGGGAGATCCAGCAGAGAGCGGTGCTAAAGGGGAATCACTATAGACCTCGCCTCCTCGGTGCTGCCAATTACGCCACCGTCGCCAGTTTTTTGAGCTCTTGGGAGGTCCAGGGGAGTGAGGTGCTAAGGGGATCCACACTAGACCTTGACTCCTTGGGTGCTGCCAATTGTGCGAGCGTCGCCCCTTGAATCAGCTCTTGGGAGGTCCAGCGGTGCTTAGGGGATCCAAGCTAGACCTCGCCTTCCTGCGTGCTGCGAATGGTGCGACTGCCGCCACTTCCGTGAGCTCCTCGGAGGTTCAGCGGCGTGCGGTGCCGAGGGGATCCAAACTAGACCTCGCCTCCCTCAGTGCTGCCAACTGCGCAACAATCACATTTGTCGTGAGCTTCTGGGAGAAGAACAGATTGCGGTCTGGGCGCGGGGCTGAAGTTTCTCTGGGGATGTCCCTTTGCGTGACCCGGGGTCTGAGTTGTTCTTTCGCGGGCGCCCGCGGACCTGGTGGCGTGCTTGCGAAACTTTAGTGTCCAGCGGTCCAGCTGGGCCTGGCTCGGTTCCTGCATGACCAGTGGCTGCGCGCTAGAACTGCCAGAGTGGTAAAATCCGCCGATCCTATCATCACTTCCCCTCCTCGCCCTTGTCATCGCATCTAATGTTCCTCGTCCTCGTTCCTCCTCCTCTTCCTCCTCCTCCTTCCTCTCCTCGTCCTCGTCCTCATCCTGCCTTCTCATCCTCGTCCTCTTCCTTCTTTGGCACTCTCGGTCCGGCGGCAGATGCTTCTGCTTTCCTGGGCTCTCGGTAAGGTTCTGCGGCCCGTAGTGCGCTGAAGTTCGTAGCTTGCCTTTTTTAATGGGCCGGCTATTGTTGCCTCTTTGGATAGGTAGCTGTTCCTTGCAACTTGTTGTGGGTGGGTTGGGTACGTCCTTAACCGTTCAATTCTTGATCCGTCGCAGGGATTTGATACTCAAGGGTAGCTTCTCTAGCCCCAGTGGAAGGAAGTGGTTTCCATGGGCGTGCAGACACTGTCAGATAATACTCGTGACACGCAAGCGTCACACACGTTTGTTCTTCTGCTTACAGTATTTCAGGTCTAATGCGTTAAATTTCATGTTCTAGAACGTAGGAGAAACAGAAATTTGCCAACGTGGACCCCACGATTTGCACTGTGTGAGTTGCAAACTACGTTATGCGTTCTGTATGCGGTGCCATCGACGTGTTGCAAGTTATATGGTTGCGGTGCAAGCTGAGTGGTTCGAGCTATGCGATGCCGCTAATGCGGTGCAAGCATGCTATGTGGTGTAAGCTATGTGCTGCAATCTATATTGTTCAATCTGTGTGCTGTAAGCTATGTGATGCAGTATGCGTATATAGGAGACCCGGTTTCCCGCGCTGGGCCGTGACCTCCCTTGTACAGGGTGGCCCCCCGTCTCTCCGGGATTCCGCGACCTCCCTTGTACAGGGTGGCCGTGACCTCCCTTGTGCAGGCTATCCCGCGGCCCGCAGGCCCCCAGGGTTCCTAGACGTCCCGAGAGCGCTCCGGGATCATCCAAAATGCTTTCCGGACGGCCTAATCGATCTTTGGGATACTCCCAAGACAGCCGAAGACTACTCCAAGACGGCCTCAGACCTCCCCACTTCCCACTGCCCAAGAGACCTCAAAGAGGACCCCAGGGAGCGCCCAGCTGGAGGCCCTCGGGGCCCACCTGGAGGCCCTCCGAAAACTACGACAGCCCCTAGCGTTCTTCCACGCCTCAACGTGCCAGGGGGCACGGTGGCGGATGTTTATATCCAGCTGCCTGCGGCAAGTCCCGCCACCGTGCCAGCCCAGCATTCTGGGTGGCGACTGTTCGGGGGGGGCGCGGGAGGCCGTCACGCGTAACATGTCGTGTCTGATGATGATGATGATGATGATGATGATGATGATGATAATGAGATGATGATGATGATGATGATGATGATGATGATGATGATGATGATGATGATGGTAATGCTGCTGCTGATGATGATGAAACAGATCGGTGATGATGATGGTAATGATGCTGCTGCTGATGATGATGATGGTGCTGATGATGCGGAGTAAGAAAAGTATGACTATGAAGATGATGATGACGACGATGCTGATGATTATGATGATGACGACGATGATGAAGACGATGAAGAAGATGATGATGATGATGATGATGGTAATGCTGCTGCTGATGATGATGAAACAGATCGGTGATGATGACCGGTAATGATGACGATAGTGATGATTGTTAGGATTCTGATGATGATGCTGATTCTGATGATGATGATGTTGTTGATGATGATTATGCTGCTGCGGCCGACGATGACGATGACGATGATGATGATGCTGGTGATGACGATGCTGATGATAATGATGATGATGGTTATGATGATGCTGCTGCTGCTTCTGATTACGCTGCTGCTGATGATGATGACGATGCTTGTGCTGATGCTGCTGAGGATGTTGATGATTTTGCTGATAATGATGCTGTTCGTGAAGACGATGCTGATGATGAAGATGATGCTAATGCTTCTGATGATAATGATGCGGATGATGATGTTGATGCTGCTGACGATGATGATGATGATCATGATTATGCTGATGATGATGACGATGGTGATGACGATGCTGCGGAATCTGATTATGAATGAATGATGGTGATAGTGTTTTTTGTTGATGATGATGATGATGCTGATGATGATGATGATGATGATGATGATGATGATGATGATACTGAGGATGAAAATGATGACGCTGCTGCTGCTTCTGCTGATGATGCTGATGCTGATGCTGATGATGATAATGATAATGATGATGATGATGATGATGATGATGATGATGATGATGATGATGATGATGATGATGATGATGATGATGATGATGATGATGGTGGTGGTGGTGGTGGTGGTGGTGGTGGTGGTGGTGGTGGTGGTGATGATGATGATGATGATGATGATGATGATGATGATGATGATGATGATGGTGGTGGTGGTGGTGGTGGTGGTGGTGGTTGTGATGATGATGGAAATCAATGGGTTTGGCTTCTTCGGACCCTGTTGGAGGTCCTCTTGTTGCCCTCTCGGGCCCTCTTGGAGGCATCTGGGGCCGTCTTGAAGCAGTCTTATGCCGTTTTGGGGCCGTTTTGGGGCCGTCTTCGATGCATCTTGGGCCATTTTGGTGTCGTTGGTTGCTTGCACGGGCCTTCTTAGAAGCCCTGGACGCAAGTCCGTCGTTTTTAGAACAGGGACCGTGGCTTGGGAGGTTCTGAAGCGCTTGGGGGGCAGCGCCTGTGAGTCCGGGAAGTGTACGGTCCTCGAGCGGGTGCGCGTGGGATGAGGAGTCTAGGAGGTCGCTGCGATGCGGGAAGTGCGTCATCCTCGTGCCGTCACACGAGGAAGGGTGGTTCAGGCATTAGCTGCCATGCGGGAAGTGCATCATCCTCGAGCCGTGCGTGGAAGCGGGGTTCAGGCATCAGCTGCCATGTGGGAAGTGCACCATCCTCGAGCGGGCACGCGTGGAAGGGAGATTCAGGCATTAGCCGCCATGCTTGACGTGCACCCTCGAGCGGGCACGCGGAGAGTGACTTCGGTGAGCAGGGGGGATGCGCGCGAGAGTCTGCTGGTCGAGGGGCGGGCGGTCCCGTGTTAGACTGCGAAATCCTCACCGGGCAGCCCTTGGCATTCTTCCGCGACCCAACGTGCCGGGGGGCACGGTGGCGGACACGTGCATCTGTACACGTGATCCGCCACCAGAAAGCAAAACCACGGTGCGTACGTCGTGTGCACGAGCCGTGCTTCCCGTGCCTGCTGGTGAAGGACTCCTCCTAGCAAGAGCGCGCGCTCGTCCTCGAATATCGTACCAACTGAATGGAAGCAGACGTGCGCACCACGAAGGTGCTGTGCATATTTGACGGTGACGTCGGTGGTGGCAGGAAGCCTTTCAGCTAAGACCTTCGGGTGCAGTGTCTCCTCGCCCCCCTCCCTCCTTCCTTGTCCTCCTCTTCCGCCCTTTCCTGCCTCCCTTCTTCGGAAGGAGGATGAGGAGGAAGAGGTGGAGGAGGCGTGGAAGTCAGAGGCGTGTTCCCTGGACCCTCGCGCCGAGGTGCCGGCGAAGCAGAGCCACTACATGCGCTCCGCCGCGCGCAACCCTGGTGCTTCGACGTCCTCGTTCTGGGACTGCAGCCTTGCCCCCTGGCGTGCGGAGTCCCGCGTGTCTCTTCTCCTCCTCCCTCCTCCTCCTCCTTCTCCCTCTCCTCCTCCCTCCTCCTCCCTCCTCCTCTTCCTCTTCCTCTTCCTCTCTCCCCCCGCCTCCTCCTCCTCCTCCTCCTCCTCCTCCTCCTCCTCCTCCTCCTCCCCCTCCTCCTCCTCCTCCTCCTCCTCCTCCTCCTCCTCCTCCTTCTCCTTCTCTCTCTCTCTCTCTTCACCCTCCTCGCCCTCGTTCCCATGCTTTGCCTGGTCCTGCTTCTGCACCCCTTCCCCTCCCCCTCCTCCCCGCCTCCTCGGCTTTGACCTTTTGTCAGAATGTTCAGCTCAGATCTGGCCTCACGCCTGTAGACGGTCGAGGTCACTGTGCGATCACAGGTTCAGCTCGTTCGGCACTCCTCTCGGCCAGAGCAAGATGCTAGGACATGCTCTTACGACTTGGTAGTGGATCAGGAGATTACTCGCTGCACGGCCCAATTTCAATACCTGAGGGGCTTCGCCTTCTGCTGCTGGCCCTCTGACTGCCTGCATGGCTGGGTCGATCGGGTTGGTTGCCTGATGTTTGTTTGGAAGGCTGGCAGCTCGGCAGTTTGGCTGGCTGGCTGTCGGCTGGCAGGTTAGACAGCTGGTTGGCTGGTATGCTCGTTCGAAGGCTTACTGGCTGCTTGCATCACTCGCTGGGTGGCTGGCGAGTTCGGGGACTATCTTCATTGCTCATACACGAGACCGTGGCCTCGGTAGTGCGGGTCTGCAATTTTCCTGGTGGATCGTGGCTTCGGGAGCGTGGGCCCGTTGTTTTTTTTCAAGGGATCGTGGCCGTTGGCGCGTGCGCCCAGAGTTCTTAACAAGGAATCGTGGCCTTGGGGGCGCCGACCCCATTCTTTTTTGAGGGATTGCGGCCTGCGGGACGTGTACCCGCTGCTTCTATTCTGAGGGGTCGTGGCTTCGGGAGCGCAGGCCCATTGATTTCTACGAGGGACCTCGACGTCGAAAGAGTTGCTCCCTCGCATTTTTACGTGCCACCGGGCACACCTACATCCTCAGGATGTGATGGGGGCGCGGCGTAAGCCACGGGGCGACCCTCTCGCGCTGGTAAAAAAGTGATGGGGGCGCGGCGAGACGCTGCTTTCGAGCAGAGCGTGGTTGCGCGTGATGAGAAGCTCAGAATCTCGCCTCCTGGGGGACAGCAGTTTCTGTGCTCTGAGAGCTGGGGACGGGAAAATCACGGTTGCCAAGCTGTTGAGTTCCTGTGGATATTGCAACTTGCCCCACGGCATTGGTGAGGGAGAACTGGCTTTGCTGGTGGGGTCTGGCCCTCGCAGCTTGACCTCCCCCGCAGGGGGAGCCAGTGGATCTCCGTATACTATCAGGAGGGGAAAAACCACACAGACACAATGAATCGTCGATCCCCCAGAAAATATGGGAAAACATGGGAAGTGGGGGGGAAGACAGAAACCCAGAACATATGGGAAAATATCGGGAATATTTTTATTAGTGTATTTATTTGTGTGTCCTGGGGCCCCTTCATACTAAGCTATTCACTCATTTATGGTCTTCCAATCGTCCGACGGTTCGCAAAGAGCGATACGATGTCTGGAGGGACGGTTGCGGCCATTGGCGAGCTTGCGCGAGTCCTGAGGCCACTGCGTCAACGTCAAGCTGCAACATCGCCAGCCTTTCCAGGCTAGGATGATGTCGCCGACGTCACATCCAGTTGCAAGATCAACTTTCCCAGGAGACGCCGAAATCGCACATTTCCGACACTAATGCCCATTTTTAAATTGATCAACGATGGCCTCGACACTCAACGCAATTTGCGGACGCAACACCAGTATCCAACAACGGGAGTAATTACAGCCTCAGTCTGAATAGATAGGACCTCCTTATCCTTGCCCGTATCAAACAAGTGGGTGCTATCAATTACAAGGATCATCGTATCGAGTGGCGGGAGATCGCATTTATTGAACACATGGCGTCAGCATCTCATAATACCATCATACTCCATTTGCTTAGTTTCCGTTTTGAACAGAGCTGGAAACTTATCCAGGTACATGCAATCATCTTTGATTTTCTAAAATGGGAGGGGTGTCATGTTTGCACCGAAGAGTCTGCAGCCGTGCTTGAGGCGTGGGTCTTGATGGCAAGATTTTGTCATCGAGTTTTAATGAAACGGGCAGAGTCTCTGACCACATATAGGCAAACTTATCCAACATGTCTGACGTGCGATTGCCCGAGATGTTAAGTTTCCCGCGAAGCCGAAGTTGGAATCCACGGATTGACATGTGGTGGTCCTTGTGCAGGGAATGCACTGTTTGTTACCAGCAGCAAGCGACATACATTGACAAACGGGATACTCCAAGATCAGTCAAGCCAGGACCACGCTTCTAACTATATGGGAGCGACTGGGATCGCGTGCGATAAACAGGAGACGGGGGAACAACAAGCTCACAAACGACACGTAGATCTTCTGACGACGGAAGGTTTCATACCTCCTAGAGGGAACTTAGCCTGCAACTGCTATGTGACCCGCTTGCTGGGCATGGTGCTCAGTTTCCACGCGAACGGCTTCTCTCAGCTGACCTGCTCGTGCCTGGCACGTTCTGAGGCCGTGTTTCCACTTCTTCAACGGCGGCTCTCGCGACGATCGGGCGAAGTTGTTGCCGTTCGAAAACGGTTTGGACGTGCGCGCCTTTCGAACGTTGGTTCGGGCTTTACTCGAGCCGAAAATGCAACAGCAGAGGTTCAAGCCGTGGATTTATTCTTGGAGGCAAAAGGTCACCACCTACCAAACCACTCCAACCCAACCCGCAGGCCTCAATTTGCCCTCCATTTCCAGTGTGGGGGGGTCGGGGAACGTTGAAAAAACACATGGAACCCGAACCCCCCCCAGCCCGAAATTCGGGTCAAATTCGGGTCTTCGGGGTGGTCTGGTAGGCAGTCAAAAGGGGAAGCATTGTAAGGCATCTGGGCGATAACACGTGACCGCTTCCGTAAATTCGAGGCGATCGGGCACCCTCGCGCGCTGCCCCATGAAGTGCGGAATCTGCCAGGTGTGGCAGGCGAGCTCGCATGCTAGACGGACATTGCGTATGATACCATGGCGATGATGGAACCGATCTTTACTGGGCATGCGCCCGCCCGTTGCTGTCATCGGTGCGCAGGGCGAGCACCCAGGCATTTACGCACGCATTCTCCTGAGGTCTGAGGGTGTCGATGACAAGCACAACAACCGTGAGCTGGAATTCAGCATCTCAAGAAACCAAAACGAGCGGCAGGGTGCACAACATGGATTTGACCGGCATGTTGTACGCATCCGGTACCTTCTTGAGGGTTGCATATCCATAATCTCGTAAGCCAGGATAGGAGAAAATGTGCACACATGCTTCATGCATCTGGGTGACCGCCTTGGGTAGTAGGGTCACAGCCATGACAGTTAGCTGCACAGTTGTCGAAGGTTTACGATTTGCTCGCGCATCACAGTGTTTCATTTGCAAGCGACCTTCCGCTCCTCTTAATCGACGGTGTGATGACGATCAAGCCATCAGTGGGGTCCTTCGCGCGGGAAATCCACGGGGCCCTTTATGTTCCGTCTACATGGGGTAAGCGCGGTAAGCATAACGGATGCGTGTTGCTGGCTGTAGATGTACCAATATTTTTTGTATTTGCCTATGTGCACGCTTGCAAGAGATACGGATGAGATGATAGATATCTTTTAGCGTACAAGTTGTATTACATGTTCATGCTGCAAATGCCCTGTGTCATTCAGAGTCAATTGCCTTGCATGCCTCAGTACGCCAAGGGGTCTTCCAGGCGTTTCAGCAGCCAAATGCCGTCATGATGCTTTTGCTCAAGTTGCCCCGGCACTGGCAGTTGCATCGCGCGCGCACCGTTCAGCGTTGGAAGATTGACCGCAAACTTGAAGGTTACAGATGCGTGTGCATCTTTCCTCTTGAATGAGACGACGGTTTTATGCGCCGCGTTTGCCTAAATGTTGGGAGGACTGACGCGCTTTTCGGAGATGCCAGAGCATCGAAGCCTGGCAACAGGTCAAACAAAGGCAATTTTGAAAGAACGTCCGCTGCACGCGCTGTGTCATCGCTCGTTCTCCATGGCGTTGTGTCTATGCTCCGCCCTCCTCTCCTCGTTTGTGCTCCCCAGCTGGGCTCGGGCTGCCTCCAGGCCACTATTCAATGCGCGATTTTGTCTGCGGTACGTCAGCTTGTGCTGCATTCCCGAATTGCTTGGCGATCTTGATCTCCACGTAAGGATAATTGGTCTGACTTAGCCTTGTAAATGCCAGCATATCTCTTAACAATCAAGGTCAAATACCGACCGCTTGCGTGAGGAAATCGCGCAGCCGTGCGCACACTTAATCACAGTCGGAGCCAGTGATATTACATGTCGGTCTGAAGTATGAGCGAAACAGTTGCTGCCAGGTGGGCTGCAAGTTAGCCAGGGATGTTGGATATGCTCAAGTTAGACGCGCTCATCCACATTGGGATAAGTGGTTTAGATAGACGGGGTTGGCGATCCAGAGCGAGTTAGGAATACCCAGCGGACATGTCTAAATGAGGACCTTCCTGAGTCAACGGCGAACGGCAGAGTTACTGAAGTTGTGCGAGGACGCATCAGTTTCCTGGGAATCCTCACATTCGACAACACCACGTTGATTGATCCTTCTTGTCTTCCTCGCCTGCTTCTCCACCTGCTTCTCCTCTTTTTTTCCTGGCAATGCCCGCGGTCCTGCGCATTTGCCATCTGTGCTGGCCCATATTGTTGTTACTGAGATTTGCGCCGATGGTGTGAATGGGGGGTTCGTGTTCAGCACGGTAGTGCTGTCTTTCGTGCGTTTATCGGTCTTAGTGCACCTCGCGAGGGCCCAATGCAGCCGTAGATCGTTAGGGGGGGATGGATTGTCCGCCCCCGTCCGGCCGTAACGGTCTGGACCGATACGGACATTTGTGGCTGAAGGCATCCGGATATTTACCGGTTTGAATTTGGTTCGCATTGATCATTGTATACGTTGCAGGTCTGATTTGTACAGCGTCGTGCAATATCATTTTCACCCGGGGAGACACCGGCAAGGCATTCGGTTCCCCAGGGCCGATTGTTCGGTGCACATGGCAAGTCCGTAAGAGGGCAACCCCATCTTGCCTCATCAATGTCACCAGTTGGGCGATCAGTGGTGGCCACGGGCTGCTGATGGACGTATTTAGCCCGCCGATCCCGAAATCCTCGGTCTCACTGTCCTCCTCCTCCTTCTCCATGCTCCTTCTTCCCCGACTGTCGATGTTTCTGGTGGAACTTTCAGGTGCGTGTGAGGGCATTGGGGTGTATCTTTGGCGATCTTCACGCTTTGATCCTCGCTGCGTCCGCAGCCCTTTTGGCGTGAGTGCAATGCTAGCACCCCCAGCTGCCGCACCCTTCCCTCCCCCTTCCCTCTTGAGATTTCGACTCAACGGGGTGTCGCTGCAGCTCCCCATTCTCACCAAGCGAGGAACGAGGACGCTCGAGAAACCCATGCCGAGAACAAGCGCGAGCGCGAGCGGTGCAGCAGCTCACGTCGTGCAGTCCAGCATTTTCGTTGTTCGCTCGAGCAGAAAACGCGGGTGTGACGTCGCTGTCGCCGTCGTTGTCGCCGCGGTGGTCGTCGCAGTCGCCTCTCTCGCCGCCGCCGTCGCCCTCGCACACTGTCGCCGTCGCCGTCGCCGTCGCCGCCATTGCTGTCGCCGTCGTCGCCCTCGCCTTCGCCGTTGCCGTCGCTACCGCTGTCGCTGCCGCCGCTGCCATCGCCACCGTCGCCGTCGCCATCGTCGTCGTCGCCGCTGCCAGCACCGTCGTCAGCGTCTTCGCCAGCGCCATTTTTGCGGTCTACCCATCTATTGTGCTAAGAAGCTTCATTGATTGTAGTCTCGCCTCGCAACGGCGAACGTATTTTCTGCTGACCGTTGGGCGCGGTCGGCGTCTGGGTTACACGAGGGCTTGCAGAAGCGTTTTCTTGTCTACAACATGTTTTTTTGTGGGCCCTAAGGTGTCTGACGATATCCACTTTTGGTCCCAGGACTGTTTTCGAACACGTTTTTCTGCTATCCGCAAGGGGACACCACCGCCCTCTTAGATGGCGACATACGAGATGCCATACTATTATTCGAAGTCATTTTTTGGACCTCCCAGGCTGCTGTCCAAATGCCTGCTTTGGCTGGAGTCTCGCTCGGCAGGGCCGCCCAACATATAGATCGCTGGATCACGGCCTACCCTAGGCCTAGGGCAGGGCGTACCCCTAGGTCTACCCCTAGGCCTACCCTAGGGCTACACTGAGGCCTACCCCTAGGCCTACCCTAGGCCTACCCTAGGCCTACCTTAGGGCCTACCCCTAGGCCTACCCTAGGCCTACCTTTAGGGCTTACTTCCAGGCCTATTACAGAAAGGGTGGTCTACAGATGGGGGTCTACAGAGTGGTGGGGGGGGGGGGTCTAGAGAGGGGGGTCTGAAGCGGGGGGTCTACAGAGGGAGGGTCTAGAGAGGGGGGGTCCACAGAAAGGGGGGGGGATCTGGAGAGGGGGGGGGTCTACAGATGGGGAGTCTACAGGGGGTGGGTCTACAGAGGGGGTGTCTACAGAAGGGAAGGTCTAAAGAGGGGGGGGGTGGGTCTAGAAAGGGGGGTGTCTACAGACGGGGTGGTCTAGAGATAAGAGGGTCTACAGAGGGGGGGGGGGGTCTACAGGGAGAGGTCTACGGAGGGGGGGGTCTACAGAGGGGGAGTCTACAGAGGGGGGGGGTCTACAGAGGGGGGGGGGGGGGTCTAGAGAGGGGGGGGGCGTCTAGAGAGGGGGCTCTAGAGAGGGGGATCTACAGAAGGAGCGGGGTCTAGAAAAAGGGGGTGGTCTAGGGAGGAGTGGTGGTCTAGAGACGTATATATTTAGAGATAACGAGAGAGAGAGAGAGAGAGAGAGAGAACGAGCGAGAACGAGACAGAGAGAGAGAGAGAGAGAGAGAGCGAGAGAGAACGAGAGGGGGGACGGGAGGAAGAGGGAACGCGAGAGGGAGAGAGAGAGAGAGAGAGACATAAAGAGATAATGCAATAGAGACAGAGAGAGAGAGAGAGAGAGAGAGAGCGAGACAGAGAAACAGAGAGGGGAGAGGAGAGGGCGGACAGAGACGGACATATATATATATATATATATATATACATATAGATAAAAGAGAGACAAACCAAACAAAAAGAATGAGGGAGGAGGGACATGAGGAAGTGGAGGAGGAGGATGAGGAGGAGGAGCAGGAGGAGGAGGAGGAGGATGAGTATACAGAGGGGGAGGAGGAGGAGGAGGAAGAGGAGGAGGAGGAGGAGGAGGATGAGAAAGATGATGAGATGATGATGATGATGAGGGAGCAGGGGCGGGAGAGGAGGGAGGAGGGGGGGGGGGGGGGAGAGGAGGAGGAGGAGGAGGAGGAGGAGGAGGAGGAGGAGGAGGAGGAGGAGGAGGAGGAGGAGGATGAGGAGGATGCGGAGGTTGGGCCCTTCGGTAGGCCTTACCCTTGCCCTACCCTAGGCCCTAGGGTAGGCCCTACACTAGGCTACCCTATGCCCTAGGAGAGGGCCTAGGGTAGCCTTCCGCCCAGGCGATCAATCTCCCGCCCAGAGCCGCCTCTGGGATGGCACATGTGATTAGGGGGCAACATGTAGATTCTTTTCGTCTTGTTCCCCAACCCAGGTGGCCTTCAGGATCGGATTACCAGAGATAGCAACTCCAGGTTTGTGTTTCGCGAGTGTTGCAGGTGTCTGAGGCCTTTTGGCCCCCAGGGATGCCACGGCGGAAAGCAGCGCGGCGCCAGTCAGTGGACATACGTGACAATTCGCAAACGATGCGCTTAACACCATATTCGTGATGGCCATGGCTCGTGGCCCACGGCCTGACGGGTGGGCGCGCTTGGAAGCGGAGACGGCATCGGAAAGCCCAGCGACCATGGCCCATGGCTTGTGGCTCATGGCTCGCGTCGCGTTGCAAAGGCGGGCGCCAGCGCTTGAGCACGGAAATGCTGACAGCTATTCCAGACACGACGTCGGTGAATCGACTGAGTTCGGTCCATGTCGCGTGGCTCACGTCCTGGTCTCGGGGGCTCGAGGCTCTTGTCAAATGACGGGCCATGCCCCCTGGGAGGCGCAGCGCCATAGGCGCAATCCGCGCTGTGGCGTGGAATTTTGCCAAAGGTGTCGCTGCACGGGATCTAATACGCCATGGACTGTTGGGTTGGGACTGGTCTAAGCGCACGCGTACCTGTACAGCTTGTTTCTTGGCCATGCGGCGCGATGTTGGAGTTTTTGCCTTAGCGCAGGAGAACCCGAAGGCCGAAGCGCACTTCAAGTCCATGGCGGCCTCCACCGACGCTCTGACGGACAAGGCCGTCCATATAGAGCTCGCTGAAAGGGGTGGGCTCGGTTGTTGGGCCGCGTTTCACTTCAGGGGGGTCCCCGCTTTCGGCGGTACGATCAGCCATAGGGGGCCATGAGAGGAAGCAAGAGAAGAGGGAGGTGTCTGATGAGAAATGAGAGGGGAAGGAGGAGGAGGAGCAGGAGGAGGAGGTGGAGTAGGAGTAGGAGGAGGAGGAGGAGGAGGAGGAGGAGGAGGAGGAGGAGGAGGAGGAGGAGGAGGAGTAGGAGGATGAGGAGGAGGACGAGGAGGAGGGAAAGGAGGAGGAGGAGGAGCGTGGGGCCCGAAAGTATCCGCATCCACCGCCTCCTGGGGCTTTGGGGTCCTGGGAGATCGGTTCCCCTGGCGGTGGATGCGTACAAGTCGCTGCCTCGGACGGAGGTGAAGGGGGAAGAGGAAGAGGAGGGGGAGGGGGAGGGAGGAAGAGGAGGGGCGGGCTTCTGCGGAACCCACGGGTTCAGGCGATCCCCCCAAGCTCCACAGCGGGTTATGGCGGCGAGGGCGGCAGCGCTGAGGGAGGATTGCATTCTGTTGTCGGTATCCACCCATGCAATGCAAAAACACCTCAAGTCGGCTCGTATCCGAAAAGGCAGCGTGCAAGAATATGAAGATAAATCACATGTGGGGAAAGGGGATGGGTAGGGGCAAACAGGGACAGGGGACGAATCTGACGCCACAAGCCAAACACACGAGCAAGAAACGCGCTTCGTCCAACACGGATCTTAAGTCTTTGCAGATTCGAGCCCGCCGCTAGCTCAAATCACAATTTCGCCAGGGGGCAAGCATCGCAAGTAAAACATGAAAAACGCACATATGAAATGTGAATGCAATCGGCAGTCGGCGCTATCAGCAGATACCGCTGTCTTGATCATCGGGCTCGTCAGCCCATCGGGTATCCGTATTCCCAGGGTTGGAAAAGAGGAGTGGGAAATGCATACAGTAAAGCTCGAGCATACGAAAAATCTACGACAGCCTTGGCACTGCACCTGCGTGGTTGACGGAGCAGGAAAAAGAAGGTCCAGCATGGACGATTATGGTGCCAACGCACTGGATGTGAAAGTTCTGTTCTGAGCCAATTCTTGCACCCGCGCTTCCCAGCGCTCTCGTGCAACACGTCTCACCGTCTTCACCATTTCTTCTCGAAACTCGATGCTCCACGCGCCTCGAGCCGGCGTCTCACGAAGATGGCCAGCGGGCACATCCTTGCTCAACACGTCGCTCAGCATGCTCGTACCGTCCGTCCACTGTACCGTCGCCTGAGGTCGATCCAGTCTTTCACGGATGCTGGCAAGCTCGAGGCTCACCGACTTGTGAGCTGAACCGCCCACGCCCGCGTCCGAGTTGAGCGCGTCGTGTCCGCCCTCCGAGTCCGTGGCGACCGCCGTCGGAATCTGCCAACCCGAGAGCCGCATCGCAGCGCCTCGCGCCACTGGCCCGTAGAGCATCTCCACCAACCGATCACGTATACCTTGATCGGAAACTGGAGCATCTACATTGCCAGTGGCGGGCCGTGTTTCAATCCCAGGACTTTTTGAGGGTCGGGGACGACGTCGGGGTGGTGTGGTGTATACTTTTTCCCCGCCTTCCCGGGGAAATGACGACAAATGTACACACCAGGATCCCGTATGCACCAGAGTCCGTTTTCCTGTGCGAATCTCAGTGCGGGACCGGAACAAAGCATCGGTGTATAAAGTTCAGTTCCTTACTTCGGGAGCGGAAAAGAGGGGGGTGATGATTAGGGGGGGGTGGATATCATGGCGGGGGCCATGATATTTGCCCAGATCTCAGGGCGCTCTTTTTGTTTCATTACGTCCCTGGCCCCCCCGCTCGGCCGCGCACATGCCGCCGGTCATGATTTGCACCCCCCCCTCTTGGACACCCCCCTCTTGGCCGCTCCCGATATTTGAGCCACGTCCACTGCATCTCCAATCGCGATAACCTCCGCCGCGCAGGAACACCTCGCGGCACGCTTCGGCGTGCGGCTCCGCCCCTCCCGGAGCGAGAGCCCGCCCGTGCCCCGCCGTCCACGAGCTCTTCTGCCCACGGACGCGACCAGGTGGCCCCCTTGCTTACCAGCCTGGAGCATATCCCTATCCCTATGTTTGACATCACCTCACCTCGATGCCGATCTTAAGGATTCCCTCAGTTTTTGATGGCCTATCCCTAAGATTGTCCTCGCTTTTTGCTCGCCCATCTTAGGGATAGGGAGACGTTCGAGGCTGGTCACTTGCGTGCCAGTCTTCTCCGTAGCAGGATCGGACTGCAACGCTGTGCCATCACTCATCACGTGACCAGGCGAGCTGTCCGACATCACTCCCAAGCCAAATCGCTCCATGCCAATGGGCCGCATCGCCAGCTTGAAAGTGGAGTCCCGCTTCGACTCACGCAACACTCGATCTGCCTTGGTCAATGCCGCAATCCGCGGGCCCTTCTTCCGACCACACGCAGCTTCGTCACCAGCTAAGTGATCTCCCCCGTGACTTGCTGGTACTGCTTCCACTTCCTGTCGTTCATTGGCATGTGGGGCGCCACTCTCCCGACCTTCGGTACCGTGATTGGTTCCAGTCCAGCAGCGTACTCCATCATGCCGATGTGGATAGCTCCTCCAGCCTGTCGTTGAACCTTCCGGCCACAGACCACGAAATCGTCGTATTCTTCGGAGCCGAAACCGAACTTCCGACCCAGCGCGTCCATCACCTTCGACAGATCCTGGGTCCCGACCCAGAAGAAATCGTCCACGTGAGTACACACACATCCCCCAAAAACTATCTGCACCTCGCTCACGTGCGTTCGGGTCGTGCACCACCGAGAAGGCTGGATCGGACCGCGAGGCTCCCAAGCCGAGCTTGCGCGCAGCAGACACTACCTTCAGGTACCAGAGTCTCGGCGCCGTCGGTAGTCCAAACACTCCCTTGCGAACTCGAGCCAATCGTCCGCGTGGAAACTCAGCGAGCGTTGGATCATGATGTGGAGCACGAATCACAAGGCCTCTTTCATCAAGCTCACCTTTCAGGAATGCACCGCTCACGTCCTTGGATCCAAACGCCCAACGGGATGCGAGGCCGCTACCTGCGTCAAGATCATCTCCGGCTGGGTCGTCGCACAAGGGTCGTCCACACGGACGTTGGACTTCTCGCCGGATCACCGCCGATCCCCGCTGTTGATCACGAGCCTGGCGTTCGCCTTCAGGGGCAAGTTGTTGCCTTCCGTCCTCAGCGGGTCATTCTTGTCGATCATCACCCAGCGCGTGCTCAGGGTATAGTCGCCCTTGCCCTCGAGCTTAATATATTCCTCCAAATACAGGCGCTCCGTTTCTCCGAGAACCTCGACAGACTCGGTATCAACCCACTTGGTCCACTGAGAAGTTGCGGCCTCCTCGAACTCCAACTGGGTCGGGGGGCCCATTCTGCTCCACACCTTCTCCTTCCGAGGCTGCCCCTGCACGAGCAACGTCTCGATCGTCGGGTCCGACCGGTGCACCGTCTCCAGATGATCCAGAAACCTCCTGTCAACTTCAGGCGACCTCTTGCGCCAATTGGCCGCCCGCTTCGCCACGTTCTTGACCCAGAGCACGTCGTCAGGATGTCGCGACTCTGGTGGTCCTTCTCGCCCTCCTCGTGAGGGTGCTTCTGGTAGTTCCGCTTCCTCAGCATCTCTCTTCGTCGATCGAGGTCTGTCCTCGGGAGGTGTCGGTGGATGCTCTGCTTCTTGAAGAGGGGGCGTCCGCGGCACCATGTGACCAAACGGTCCAAACCGTCCAGGGGACTGCGTTCCCGGCAGAAAATCATCTCCTTCGGGCTCTAGTGGATCAGCTTCATCAGGCACAGCTTGATCCACGCCATCCGGTACTGGTCGTTCCACTCCATCAGGTATTGGCAACCCAGGTTGAGGAACAGTCGAAGGTCGTGCAACTCGCCCCTGCATCGCAATGGCGCGATGGCCTTCTTTCGGATGGTCCTGGCAACTCGCAGGGCTTTCGATCTCTCCGGGTCCTCTCCCTGTGTACGTAGTCCGTTCGCCACTTCCTCCAGGAAATTTGTTCGCCCACTCTGCTGTGAGCTTTTCTTGCGCGAAAGCTCTCGTCGATCAGCTCCGTCAAACACTCTTTCACCACCGGCAACAGCCGCCACCATGCCCATCTCCATCACTTCACTTGGAGCGGCTGTGGTGCCTCAGCCCTCTCGAGAACTTCAGGCTGTTGTTCTGCCGCTTCTTCTGGAGTCTTCTCCTCAGCTTCGGGCTGGTCGTGCTCTTCCTCCTGGGCATTGCTAGCGACCTCCATCTGCAAGCTCCCGTCGCCTTCCATGGTGCTCAGAACCTGCTCCATGATGTCCAGCTGCTCCCTGGCGCTCATCCCGAGGGCCTCGTCTGGGGATGCGCGTCTCACTGCAGCTGGGTCACATATTGTCGATAAGCCCTCGTAGGACACGTAGGTAGCCGCCGGCTCCACTCCAATCACCATCAGTGGCCCGTGCCACGTTCTGAACAGCAGCAATGGCCCCTTGTGACGGCGATTCTTTCGGCGGCCCTCACGTTAGAAATAGACCACATCACCCAATTTGACAGTAGTACTCGGCGGAATTCGTCGCGTCCGAGCCAGTAGAGCTAGCCTGAGTCTCTTATTGGTGTCAAGCTTCTCTAGCGCCACTCGAGCAGCGCTGTAGACTTGTAGGCGCTTCGTTGTGTACGGGTCTTTCTCAACCGCGTCGGGCGGCCAAGTGAGAGCGGGTACGATCACTTAGCAGGCCCCACGGTAACTGCTGGGAGCGTCCAAGTACGAGTTGAGCTGGCGAAAACCCCGACTCGTTGATACGCTGATTCTTGGCCCACGTGATCATCACGCTCGCCGATGTCACTTCCAGCTCCGTCTCGATCTCCGCCTTGGCGGTGCTGGCTCGCCAAAATACTTTCCATTCACCTCTTGCTCTCTCGCACCTTCTATTCTGCCATGGCGCCTCCACATCAGTATAC